GAGAGAGAGAGAGAGAGAGAGAGAGAGAGAGAGAGAGCATACTTCTGTTGTGTTTGCTATGTGCGAGGGGGGAGAGAGAGAGAGAGAGAGAGAGAGAGAGAGAGAGAGCATACTTCTGTTGTGTTTGCTATGTGCGAGGGGAGAGAGAGAGAGAGAGAGAGTGGGCGATATTGGGCTTGTACAAAAAAGCAACATGTGTCTCATTCACCACCTCCACATCAAAACTGATTGTCTTGTCATAAACACGTCGGCTGTGCAGGGATGGCAGCCGACCGTCAGAGCGTAAAGTGAGATTCGCCTTCTACGTCACCAACACAAGTCTTTTTGCCTCATTCAGAAGGCAATGCTGATGAATGTTAATTACAGTATCAGGTTTGATAATTAAAGATTTAAGTAAATACAGTATGTGTACTGTTGTAGTATTTGTCTCAAATATGTAATATTATTATAAGTATAATCACTGTTTACATATTTTGAACATTCTGCTACCCACATACAGTTACTAGTGATGGAACGATGATACCTCAAGGAGTGTATTGACACACTTCACAAACTGTGTCAGCACTGTATTGACACTGTGTTGATCACCCAATAGTTAGAGGTAAGATCTTAAGCCTGAGCCCAACCCGACCCAAAATTCGGGTCGGGTCGGGACTAAAATGTCAATCATTGCTTAGGGTTCAGGTCGGGCCGGGGTTCTCTCTTGCTGACTTTTTTTTTAATAAATATATCTTTAGTGCACTGAGGCGTTTCCAGGCCGTGAATAGTTTTGGCCACGAGAGAGCGTGGTTTGCAAAAAAATAGAAGTCGCCTCATCACAATACGTACTGTACTAAACTCTTGCAATGACAATTCAAAGAACTCCTTCCTGTCTCTATTATCCACCCGTCATTGTTTTTCTTTGTCTCTCTGCTTCTCTCAAAGTGCCGCGCTAGATTCTTAAGGACGTACTACTGCTGTGGTTAATGGCCCAATTTTCAACCCGTCAAAATGACGGGCGGCCTTAAATTTTTCCCGTCAACTCTTAAAAAAATCCGTCAATGATGGAAAATTGTCGGTTAATGTACCCTCTGCAGAAACAGAAATATAAAAGATGTAAATGTTTATACAGTCTTGTTTAACTTAGATTTCGTTACAAAAGGCAGGCTTTAATTTGTTATCATAAATCACCCCTCCTCCTCCCGAGTCCTCACAAATAAAATATGAAAATTCGGGTTTGCTTCGGGCTTGGGCCGGGTCGGGCTTTAATACCTGCGGGCTGGGTCGGGTCGGGCTGGATTTTTTTCGGCCCGATCTTATCTCTACCAATAGTGACTCCTGCAGTAGTTATAAAATCATTGCAGGTAAAGAAATTCCTTGTTTGTGTAAATGTTAAACTGAGTTGGTATGTAAAATACAGCAAATTTGAGTTACAATTCAGAGTTACAATTTTTAACCTACCGGTACGTAGAATATTTTTGTTAAATCATGTGAAATAAAAGACAAAAAAGTGATTAGTTTATGAATTTTTATTGAGGAACAAAAGTTTTTGGAGTGTCTTTGCTCCAAGGCGATTTCTCCTCTTAGACACCAACTCCCCAGCCTTAGAAAATACTCTTTCACATGGTTCAGATGACGATGGTGAGCAGAGAGTATTCAATGAAAGTTGATGCAGATGCGGATATGTTTTCTGGTTCCATTTCCAATATTGTAAAGGCTCTTGGTTTCTGGGTGTGTTTGCTTCTGACAGGTAGCGTTGGACTTCAATTATGGAGGATCTCGCACTTATAAGATAAAAAGAATAAAGCAACTGTAAGGCTCTTTAACTGACTATCATATGTATAACAGGTCATTCACTTGATAAACTGATAAAAGTGGGTGCAATGCGCCACCGTAAAAAAAATAGTATATACCCGTAAACAATGCTCAAAGGAGAAAAAGATTTACCAAGATCAAAATTATTCCGCATTGGGGAAAACTTCTTAGAACGATCCATAATTTCGCAAAACTCCAGCCAACAAACCCACGACATGTCGATACTTTTTTTTTTCCTTATAAACACTGTTGGGGGAAGAGCGGCCTCCTCTTCCCCGCGTGTTCATTAATTTCGGACGATGAGGATGTTGGTTATCCAAATACAGGCTGGAGTCAATGAACAGTTCCTTCGAAGGGTTTGATTTATTTTCTGCAGTTTACCAATTCGGGCTCCTAAGGGGTCCAGAGTTCAATCAGGAAGCGTAAAAGAAACACATTCATGAGATTATATAGAGATAATATGATAATGAGAGGCGGGGAGGTACGCCTCTCAACCAAATGCCGGAAACAAAGAAAGTAACATGTCATCTGACCCGGTGTGGCTGGAAGAAGTTGGGAGTGGTGAGGTGAGACCAGACCACCACTACCCACCATTTGGTGTGGTGGCAGGAACACAGATACTTGAGATAACAGATCCTCTTTTGATGTTAAACATGTCCTATGGAGGGGGGGCCCTAAAAGAGGTGGAGGTCGAGGGGCACTAAAAGTGATTGTAAACACAGTGAACAGGAAATACCTCCAACAACATTCTACATTCTTTGTTTCTTTCAAATCCAACTAACAGAGAGGAATAATACTTTAACAACACACTTTGGTGCGGCACATTCAAACCATTCAGTTCCTGTATTGGTCAAGTGATTCTTTCTTAAAGCAATACACTCACCGATACAGGGTTTCACTCTTGAGCTCTCGGCACTGTGCTGACGCACCAGTGTCGCTCGTCCCATCTCTAACACTTACACAAAAATTCCTAGAGGGGAGCCAACCCTACCTCGCGGATTTTCACTTATCGCGGCAGAGTCCCGGTCTCCATTAACCGCCATAAGTGAGGGATCACTGTACGGCATTTTTTTGTTGTTCGGACTGCAATGCAGTACTTCTCTTTGCTCTCTATTTTTCTGTACAGTGCAAGCGGTCACGGCTTTGGTCTCGTTTTACTTACATTTTTCTGCTGATACAGTGTAGGTTTAATTTTTTTGCATTCTTCCCTGATGTACAGCTCATTTGCTCAACATTCCGGGGTGTCATATTTTGTGCTTCATATTATGACACATTTTCAATGGGAGACGGGTCTGGACAGCTAATAGGCAAAATCCTTGCAAATGTCTTGTCGAAAATTATTCTTAAACTGTTTGACTCATTGCTCAGGCAATTAATTGTTCACAAGATGGTGAACCTCCCCCAAATCTTTACTTGTGAAGAACTGAGACTTTTTGGGATGCTCCTTTTAAACCTGTTCACCTGTTCCCAATTTGCCTGTTCAGATGTGGAATGTTCCACACAGATTTTTTAAAGCACTCCTCAACTTTCTGAGTCAGTTGCCCCATCCCATCTTTTTTGGAATGTGTTTCAGGCATCAAATTCAATACGAGAGAATATGTGGGGAAAAAAAAAACAATGACATTCATCAATTTCAACATTACATAACTTGTTTTTGTGCGGTCCTCAATTGTCAATAGGTTGAAAAAGATTTGCAAATCATTGTATGAAACTTTTATTTACGTTTTACACAATTCCCCAACAGAGTGGCAGTTATTATGAACATTGCATCGACTGGAATTTTACTGGATTATTTTGGTTTTTTTTTTCCTACACTGAAAATGTGTTACGCTCTATATAATGTGTGTTTGTGCATGCAGCACGAGTCGGAGATCTTGCCCTTTCCAAACTCTGAGAAGAGTTTCTTTCTGCCTGATGACATCATCCAGGAAGTGAAGGAAGGTGGGAGCTGATTGGCTAAACTGGTCTTTTGTTGATTGTGTCATTGAAACAATTTGCGTCTCAACCAACCAAACGACCCCCTTCGGTTCAGGCAAGCTGTGCTTGGAGGAGGAGCCCAAGGAGGAGCTGGAGCTGGAGCGGGAGCAGCCTGCAATGCACGAAGAAGGTACAAGATGACTGAAGCAACACACACGTGGATGGAGAGATAATCTTTGATCACCTCCTTCTTTCAGGAAGTAACTCCTCGCTCAAGATGTCAGAGCGGACCAGCAGTAGCCGTGACAAGGAGAAGGGTGGTGTTGATGGTGCAGCTACAGGAGGAGGAGGAGGAGGAGGAGGAGCTGGTGGGAAGGAAGCAGAAAAGAGGAAGAGGAGTCGTGGTGCTGAGAAGCTCCTGTCGTCGTCCAACCCTGCCAGTCCCGGAGGAGCCAAGAGAAGACGTACATGACCGTGCGACTGGTCAATTGAGATGAGCTGGTGTCTCTCTCTTCATGACCTTTGTTAGTGACTAGAGGTCAATGCTCGGTTGCGTTTGAATCGTGATTAGCTGCCAGAAAGTTGAAGACCGGCACACTGCGTACACAGGAAATGGACCCTGTTAGCGCCAGTATATCATTTTTGTCTCTCAGCAGATGACATCCTGATTTTCTGGAGCTGTATTGTCATGATTAGCATGCGAAATTAGCCTGCCAGCTGAGCCATGGCTTTAGATTGATGATCTTTTTATTTTCGTCCCATTTTGATGTATGAAAAGAATCATCTGTTTACTTCGCTGTTTTTCTGTCAACAACCAAATGATGCTCATTATTAAATTGATGTCACACACACTCAACCCTCTAATTGTTACTCTACAAATTGAATACCAATGAGTATTTCCCCCAAATTTCTGGTCAAAGTTGGCAAAGGTCTAATTGTCTGTCTTTAAACATAAGCCTGAGTGATTATCCTGTGGTGTGTGTAATGGGGAAGGTTGAATTATTTTGAGTTATTACACCTGTTCAGCGGCTCGGTGGTTAGCGCGTCAACCTCCCAGTGCAGAGGTCCCGGGTTCAATTCCAGCTCCGGCCTCCCTGCGTGGGGTTTGCATGTTCACCCCGGGCCTGCGTGGGTTTTCTTCGGGTACCCCGGTTTCCTCCCACATTCCAAAAACATGCATGGCAGGCTGATTGAACACTCCCAATTGTCCCTCGGTGTGAGTGTGAGCGTGGATGGTTGTTTGTCTCTGTGTGCTCTGCATGTTTTTGGCTGGCAACCGATTCAGGGTGTCCCCCGCCTACTGCCCCAAGGCGGCTGGGATAGGCTCCAGCACCCTCCGCGACCCTTGTGAGGATGGATAAGCGGATCGGAGGTTGGATGGATGAATGGATGGATGGATAAACCTGTTCACTTTTGAGAATGGCAAATCCCCTTGGTCAACTTGCCAAGAAAACCTGCTCGTTTCCCCTCCGCCACCTCTCTGTAAAACTGAACAGGTCTTGCTCCATGACACATTGAACAATGTCTGTAGAAGAGCCGTGTTTCTTCTTTTGCAAACAAAACCTAGTGAAAAAAACAGTAAGCCAATCCAGTCAAAGTTATCTGACTTCATTTCCAAGTTGTGCTCTGGGGTTGAAGGAGTGAATAAATCGTTGTTCGTCTATATCTGTTATTGACTGGCAACCAATTCATGGTATACCCCGCCTCCTACCCAAAGAGGCTCCAGCACGCCCGCGACCCTTACGAGGATAAGCAAATTAGAAAATTGATGGATGTACATATATACCTACTGTACATACATACATACACACATACATACATACCGCACACATGTATCTCGATACATGGGGTTCGAATCGGGACTGTTTATTTTAAAATGTAGCAATTCGATTCGGCTCAATTCAGTGGGATTACAATTCATACTGCTCAGTTCGCATTCAAACTATTTTTTGTTACAGCACTGAGCGAGAGAAAGAGAGAGACAGCGATACTGTACACAACTGTATGTAGCAAGGTTTCTATGGAAAATCAAGTCAAGCTTTATTGTCAAATATACTCTACATGCAACATACAGCACAGATGAAATTACTGTGTGCCAGCAGGGCAGAATAAATAGCAATCAACAGACAACCACAGGGCCCTTGTGATTATTGCAGGTCAAAGTTAGGTAGTGCATTGTTTAAGTGCAATAATCGGATGTCAGATGCTGAGGGAGGGTCGCAGTCTGTGGCAGGATGCAGGGGTCAAGGGCGGGGAGCGCGGGCAGAATAGGGAGGGAGTTGAGTCTCCTGACCGCCTGGTGGAGTAAACTGTTCTTGAGCCTGCTGGTTCTTGCACAGACGAGAGGCATCGCGGTCTCCTCCCCGACCGGCAGCCGGTCGAAGAGGCTGTGAGATGGGTGGGTGTGGTCACCTGCGATCTGGATGGCTTTGCGGGTCAGACGAGAGTTGTAGATGTCCACGAGTGGGGGTAAGAGAGACACCAATGATCTTCTCAGCTGCTCTCACAACGCGCTGCACACTCTTTCGGCAGGACACGGTGCAAGCGCTGTACCACACGGTGATGAAGCTGGTCAAGATGCTCTCAATGGTGCCTCCATAGAATGAGAATAGAAAATCCACCCATTTCCACAACCGCTTATCCCCTTCATTACAAACGAAGAGAGTCAATTACGTTGCGATGCATTACTTTAAATTGGATTTAAATGTTCCGTAAAGTTGGTTAACATTATGGCGCCCTCTCCTGTTACTGTCCAGACTTTTCCAACCCAACTTTAAATTGAAAAAATTGAACTTTGGGTTGGAGTGTACGCTAACTTCGTAATCATTAATTCACTCGCACAGACATATTTTTTAAATGCTTTTTTCAGAACCCACACATTATATCCTAGCTATTTATTAACATTTTTTTTCCAGGACAGTGTAAAAACGGTCTGAAAATGTCTGTAACGGAATACGTTTTACTATTATGTGCATACGTGATCAATGTGAGGTCTTCAGCTCCGTTGCGACCCTTCGCAGAATAAGCAGTATAAAAATGGATGGATGATTTTCTGGTGCTCGCATACGTCGAAGCTGTACAGATATTGCTGTTGAATTACCAGTATTACACTAACATGCGTGTTTTTAGATACATCCATCCATCCATCCATCTGCGTGCTGGAGCCTATCCCAGACGCCGTCGGGTAGTATTTATTTATTTACTTTTATTATTTTATCTATTTATAATTTTATTTATGTATACGCTTTGCTTCGTGGCCAGTGCGCATGCCCCAAGCAAGCCGGGTGTCATGTGTCAGCCTGCCAGCAGCTGTTCTGGGCTGTGAACTCTCTCATCGAGAGTAAGACACCAAGAATAACCCAAGAGGTGTTGCCACAGATATGCCACTGAGTCGGTACTGACCAGGTAGTGGGGAAAGACGCTGTTTTCACCCAGGCGTGCCGCGAGCTAACCAAGGCTGACAACAGACCATCAGCTGCTATAACGACGCACCTAACGGATCAGCTGAGATCCTGACGCGGTTCTAACTTGGTGCCGCTAGGAAGCAGTCGAAAAGCCGGACTGTCTCTCGAGTCTGTTGAGCTAACAAAGCTAAAGGCTAAGAGTCAGCCGGGACATTCCCCGCTGAAGCGCTTGCTTTTGGAAGCCACAATGCTCATAGGTAAAGTATAATGGATGTTCGTTGTGTCGGTTCCGAGGTCAGTGTCGTGCTTTGACTCGTGCGTCGAATGTTGTCATGCGCCGGTCAACATGGTCGGTGCTACATTCTAACCATCTGCACGATTACAAAAATACACGTTCCGTTTGAATAGGACGGTACATTGACAGTGACATCACTTCTATTTCTACCCCCAAATCAAACAGTCATTTGATTGAGGTGAGCTTTCATGAGTGTCCCATGGAGGCGTGCACATATCTGCTTACAGACGGTATGCGAGTACCCGCGTGAGTTTCTTTCGCAACAATTGTAGTTTGGGGGAGGGAATTTACTTTTGTACATGGTTGTTTCCCACATGACAAAAACAAGTCACGTGATGTTAAAGCCGTTTTCGTTTTCTTGGCGTTTTGCTGACCACGTATGTCTTCTTCCAGCAGCCTCCGCTGGGGCAACACGGACAAGCCCCGCCTCCGGAACCAAGAAGCACAGGCGTCGAGGCAAAAAGCACCGCAGAGTCCGCACTGAGGAGTCCCGGTGAGACCGACGCACGTGGACTCTAAATTTATCAATTGTTTCGTGTTCTCTGGACTCATTGCTCATGTGACCCATACAGCCACTGCACACATGGTAACTGTGCTAAGCTTAGCCATGCTGTCCAGACTGCTGTGCCCTTCCTCTAGCCGTTGTGCTAAGCTAGCAGGTGTCCAGCTGACTCACAGAGGTTTAGTTGTCAGGCCACAGCCAGTCGCAGACATTAATAGAAGCACACGCTGAATTATGACCCCACACCATGCACACATACTCTCAAGCAGACTTAAACAATGTCCCTGAGTCAGCCACGTGCGCATCTGTGTGTCTCAGTGCCACACAATAATCCGTCATGCATATAGAGCTAAGATTTTTTTCCCTGATATGATGGTGATGGAGTTAATATTTATTTATTTATTTATTTATTTATACATACACACAAAAATCCTCGTCTCACCCCTTGGGTGGTGTCCATCCCTCATTCAGCTTGAGGGTTCTGCGCAGTATCCTTGCTGTTCCCAGCACTGCACATTTCTGGACTGAGATGTCCGA